TTATGCAGCCATTCACTAAACTCAATCTGCAAGACAAGAAACATTCCTTATGTCTATGAAATCATAGGCACACTCCTTGGAGAGGCAGAATTAGAGAGCCATTAAAAATGAGAACAGAGATGAATGACTCAGTTCTGTAATTAAAATGATCATAGTGAAGGGCACAAAGAACGTGTATGCTTGTTCTACCTTACAAGCGTAGGGAATTGCTGGAAACACAGCTTCATAGTTTGAAAGTCAGAGGAGGGTATGCCTAGCATTCCAGATATCACAGTGCAAGCTAAACAAAACAATGAGTCATGAAACCGAACAGCCCACGAAGCGTGTCAGTGATGTGGTACCACTTCAGTGTAGCTTCTGGGAATGCAATGGATTGCTCAAAGAGAAGAATTGGGGTCAAAGCACAAAGGGCCTGAATCCTAGAATGTGAGCCTTCTCCATGTGATGGGCACACCTCCACAAGGAGATGGTTTGTGGCATTATAGATGCACTCGGGAAAATCTAGTCATTCACAGTGAAAAAAATGGGTGAAAAGAAGGGGGCAGCAGGGAGGGGAAGGAGGCAGGTGATGGGCAGGTTGGTGAGTGACTGTTGGTACTGTGGAGCTGTCCTGATCAAAGCTGAAGATTTACAAATACTGTTCAAATATTTGTAAATCAGGACTCAATAATACAAAAGAGAAGTCAAAACTCAGAGCATAGTCCACAGGATTCCTGAATTTTAAAGACTAATGAATTCACATGTAAAGATTTCACAGCTGTGAATGTCATGGCTGAGGGTCTAGCTGAGCGGTGCATGTGCTGGGCTTTGGGTCTGAATCTTTATATACAGATAACTATTAGCAAAAGATAAAATCACTAAGAAAAAATGCATAATTTTTCCTTTAAGGAATATAGTAGCTTAAATTTTTTTTTCTCATTTAATGGATAGAAATAAAGAATTTTTGGTGGATATATCTTCTCAGTCAATGAAAAGGGCTTGCTTGGTATAGCCACAGGCCTGGGTTTGAGTTTCACTATGTAGAAAAAAAGAAAGAAGGGGAAGGGGGAAGGATTTAAAAAAGAAAGAAAGAAAAAAGCAGAAAATAAAAACCTGTTTATAAGACCAGAAACTATAAAAAATTCAAATAAAATGACTTTATTTTGTGTGTGATTATAGATTTAGGCATTTTTGTTTTTGTTTTTTTTGAGATAAGATCTCCCTGTAGTCTCAGCTGGCCTCAGTCTCTCAGAGATCTACCTGCCTCTGCCTCCTGAGTACTGGGATTAAAGGTGTTTGCCACCATGCCTGGCTTAGATTTAGGCATTTTTAAGTACCAGAATGAAGTCAGAAAGAAATCTAAAACCCTGTTCTAGAAACATCCCGGCTTTCCTGTATAAGCAGCAAATAGCTCTTGTTTCCTAGTTGTGCTGCATGCTATGGTAGTTAAAAATTAGACAAAGAGGTGCTGAAGTGATGGCTCAGTGGTTAAGAATACTGGCTGTTCTTGCAGAAGGCCTGAGTTCAAATTTCAGCACCCACATGGCAGCTAACAACTGTCTGTAACTCCAGTTCCAGGGGATCCAACACCCTCCTCTGTCTTCCGTGGGCATTGCATGACATGAGTGTACTTACATTCATGCAGGCAATACATGGATATACATAAAATAAAAAATAGTAAGTTGGGCGTGGTAGCACACGCCTTTAGTCCCAGCACTCGGGAGGCAGGCGGATCTCTGTGAGTTTGAGGCCAGCTGGGGCTACAGGGAGACCCTGTCTCAAAAAGACCAAAAAAT